ATGTGCACAGTGTGTAACCCCAAGATGTCACCAGCAGTGATTAGAAGTGGGTTTTGCATTGAAGTTTTTGTTTCTTTACAAAGACCGGGCGTGGCTATTTCAAACTCCCTACTCCCAGCCCCCACTAATGTCTAACTACCTGCTAACAAATGGGCAGGGTTCCTTGTGACATTGGCCAGAATGCAGCCCTGTGGCTTTGAGAGACATTTGGAGATCTGGTCCTTATTATAGGTAAGCCTTACCCAGCCAGAAATAGAGGGTTTGAGCCAGGTGTGGTGGCACCTGCCTGTAATCCCAGCATCCGGGAGGCTGAGGCAGGAGGATCACTGTGAGTTCAAGGCCAGTGACAAGCGCACATCTCCTGGGGCTTGGAGACTTTTTCAAAGGATCTGGTGGGTGGGGGTCTCAGGAGATACCAGGCTATAACCTGGGGCCTCATGAGGAACTGGGACCCAGAATTGAGAAGCCAGCAGGAACTGTGCCTGCTTGGTAGGGCTCACCTTTCTGAGGAAAAATACCTTTTCAGTTCCCTAAAAAGACACTCGTAGTAGGGGAGAGGTGGAGGGGGTTTTCTTTCCTTGCTTATATTTTCCTGTATATATATGAATTTTTCTTTGACGATCCTAAAGCAGCATGGACATGTTCATGAGTGAAACAGTGCACCAGCTGGTGCATGTCTATGACTCCAGCACTCAAGGAGGCTGAGGCAGGAGGATTGCCAAGAGTTCAAGGCCAGATTGACCTACATAGGGAGGCCCTGTCCCAAGGAAATGATGAGTTCAGGCAAAGTCAGGAGACTCCCCACCTCCGATTCTCTGTTCCCCCCTCCAGATCTTGGTTCCGCTCCCTGAAAACCGTGCACTTCACAAGGGCAGCCCCCATGGTCCTTCTGCCCTGATTCTGGGGAAGTGCCTCCCTCCCTGGCTGCTGCACTCCAGCCTGGCTGCTCCTACTTCCTGCTCCCCAATGACACTGCTGTCCTGTCCAGCTGCTCCGTAGTCGTCCCTGCAGTGCTCGGCCTTTGGGACCTGTCAAATGTCCACAATGTCACAAAGGGCCCTTCTGTGAGCACAGGGCAGTGCTGCCCAGGGGTGGCTCCAGGCCCATGTCTGTGGGGCTGTGTGGCTCTCGTTGCTATGCACAGGCTTGACAGAGAATTTTAAGAGGATTTAAGCATCTACTGACTTGGAAAGAATTGGACTAATCTACTTATTCTTTTCCTATTCCTTATTAAAATTCTGTCCTCATAGAGCTCAGGAAGCGGGTAGTTTCATGTGGGGAAATGAAGGGTAGCAGAATTCATCTGCATTGCTTAGGCTATGAAGGAGGGTGTGTGTGTGTGTGTGTGTGTGTTTTGTTTTTTTGAGACAGGGTCTCACTATGTAGCCCAGGCTGGCCTCCAACTCTCAGTAAACCTCCTGCCTCAGCCTCCCTGGTGTTGGAATCACAGGTGTGCTCCACCACACCCAGCAAGAAGGGTGTTGACAGAGGCCTGGTGGCTCCTGCTCTGTTACTTCGCAGACCTGAGATCACAGTGACTCCACTGAAGTGACAGGTCTGACCCCAAGGTCTCTTCAGGGTTCAGTCTTGTGCCTCCTCCATCAGCGGGGAGTGAGGAGCTGAGGAGAGGAACTGTCCCCTGGTCCAGTCTCTGCATTTGCCCGGCTGCTGGGTGTCAGTCTCTGGCTGGGCCCAGCCTCAGGAAACCCAAAGACAGTGAACCCTGAAGTCTCCAGGCAAGAGAGGCCAAGTCTTGTCCCAGCATCTTCTCAGACAGGGCAGACTGCAGATTCCGTCCTGACCTGTCTGTCTCCCCAGGCCTCAGTTTCCCCACTGGCACAAAGATGGAACGGGGCTGAATGGGGAACCAAGATCTGGGGCTGCCAAATGGGCTGAGAGCCCCTGCCTTCTTGTCCCTTCCCTGGGGTGCCAGGTACTTATCCCCGGAGTGGGGGAGTTGCTCCTTTGCTCAGAGCTGTTCCTTCTTACTCTGGAAAGAGATGAGGAGTGAGGGTGGGCTGCTTCCTTCTCCAGCAGGCCTGGTTTTCAGCTGGATTCTCAGATTCAGCTTCCTGTTCTCTTCTCCAGTGGCGGAGTTACTTCCTGCCCTCCTCTATCCCACCTGCTTTTTTGGGGGGGGCATGCTGGGAATTGAACCCAGGGCCTTCATGCTGAGCTGTACCCCAGCCCCTTTTTTTACTTTTTGAGACAGAGTCTAACTTGCTAAGTTGCCCCAGGTTGGGGACAAATTTGCAATCCTCCTGCCTCAGCCTCCCAAGTACATTTGCCATCAGGGCCAGCTATTCACAAGAATCTAATAGACAATGTAAGTCACTGGAGAGTTTGAATCTTGAATATGAGAACTTGAGTAAGTCGTTAACCTTTTCTGACATCCTGTGAAAATAAAAAGGGTAAAAACAGCATTGAAAGGGCTAGGAATGTAGTTCAGTGGTGCTGCACCTGCCTGGCAAGCTCAAGGTCCTGAGTTTGATTCCTGGTATTGGAAAAAAAAAATCATTGAAAGAACTTTTCACATGGAGTGGCTGGGGCATGGAGGGGGAGGCCTTCCTGATGGGAGAGGCCAGCTACTGTCCAGGAGCAACACATCAATTGCATTCAGGCAGCTGTGCTCTGCCCGAGGTACCAGATGTGATCATGAGGTTATTGGATTCTCCTTTTAGTGACATTTTTATCGAGCATCTGTATTCTTGGCTCTGTCTTCTATCAGGTCACACACCTGCCACATAGAACCTGTCCTTTTGATATGGGAAAAATGTAGACGTCAGAGATGCAGAGTTCGTGTTTCCTGAAATTGAAGAATGAATTCCAAGAGGGCAAAGGAGATCACAAGTAGGAAAGGTTTATTAAGAGAACGCTCCTGAGACACAGGAGGGGGTCCCTGAGTGGGTGGTCACGTGGTACTTTGTCAGAGGTAATCTGCATAGCGAAGTCACAACATGGGTACAACATGACCAGACTACAATGACAAGTTCAGCCACTTAGCTAACATTGATCCAATAGGGAAAGGAGTCACACAGCAAGGGTACAGGGAGAGAGTAAAGGGATTCTCGGAAAGGGAGGGCAGTAAGGCACCAGGTGTTCTGGTCCCCCCAGCAGGCCTGGCTATTGTTTTTTCATCCTGAGGCCCCGCCCTTTTCTGATGTGCCTCCAGCCACAATTCTGATGGCTTCATCTTTCTGTGCTGACTTCCTTGAGGGCCTCCTCCCTCTTTGACTGTATATTAATTTCTGACTTAGCTGCCTCTAATGCTTTTGTTATTTCGTAGAGGTTCCCTGGGAAGACATTTTTGTCACTTCCCTGCCTTGGTACTGGGGGTTGAAGCCAGAGGCTCACGCATGCTAAGCAAGGCCTTTCTGCTGAGCTACACCTTTAACCAGAAATTAGGGCGGTGCCACCATGGCAGGTTTTATCTCTTTTTCCTGCTTGAAATTAAGCTTTCACTTTTCACCTGCACCTATACCTCCCAAATTGCTTTTTTTTTTTTTTTTTTTTGAAACAGGGCCTTGAACTCACTATGTAGTCCAGACTGGGTTCAAACTCACAGCAATCCTTCTGCTTCAGCCTTCCGAGTGTTGGGATTACAGTGTGTGCCACGACATCTGTCTCTGCAATGCTTCTTTGGTTTGCTTAACGGAGGCAGTGTGGGTGGGGGTGGTGAATAAGAATATTAACTGTAAGAACTTGGATAAGTTGTTAACCTGTTTGCCATGGATTCCCATCTGTAAAATAGGAGTAACAACAGTAAATAGTGCTCAGAAAGGATGGGAGCCAGGAGGCAACATCCTGGGTCTAAAATCTGTGGCTCACATTGCCAAGCTGGAAAAGGCAGACTAAAGAACTGGCAACCACTGTAATCCCAATATGCAGGAGGCTGAAGCAGGTGGATCCTCAGTTCCAGGCCAGCCTGGGCTACATAGCAAGGTCAAGGCCAGCCTAGATTATTTGCAAGGCTCTGACTCAAAAGACATTAAATGACCTCTCACCACTAAACTGGGTTAAATGTACACTGTTAGAGGGGTACCGTGGCACAACACCTAAAATCCCAGCTTTTATTTGTGAGGCTGAGGGAGGCCGATCATAAGCTGGAGTCTAGCCTGTCTGAAGAAGAAGAAGGAGTGGGTCAGGGTTGGGGGATATCTCAGTTCTACCTGGGTCCCCAGACGCCATCCCCAGTACTCCAAGGGAGGGTGGAAAGAGGAGAGCACACCATCGATTTTTCTGTACATAAAATTAGTAAAGAGCTGGGTATGGTGTCGCACACCTGTAATCGAAGCACCTGGGAGGCTTGAGCCAAGACTGAGTTCAAGACCAGCGTGAACTACACAGTGAGACCCTGTCTCAAAAACAAAAACAAAGAAATAAACAAAAAAGTAAAGAAATGAGCTGGGTACGGTGGCACACAAGTCTGTAATCCCAGCACGCTGGGAGGCTGAGGCAAGAGGATCGCAAATTGGAGCCCAGCCTTCAATTTAGAGACCCATTGGAAATAAAATATATTTGAAAAACCGGGAATGTGTGTGCGTGTGTGTCGGGAGTAAAGATGTGTTGGGAGCTAGGGCTGTAAGTCTGTGTTGGAGCACTTGCCTAGCACGGGACAGGGCCGGGGTCTGATTCTCTGTGCTGCAAAAAACAAATACAGGGCTGGGATTTAGCTCAGTGGTTCCGCCGCCTGCCTCGCAAGCTCAAGGTCCAGAGTTCAGTCCCCGGTACCAAAAAAGAAAACAAAACAAAAAAACAAATATAGACATACAGTCTATAATCCTTGACCTTGATTTAGAGCGTTGCTCGGATTTTTCTTTCACTTCTCCTCATTTTCCCGGGCCCTTCCTGCTGAGTCAGGCAGTGCTTGAGCGGCGGGGCGGGGCGGGGCGGGGCGGGG